AAAGAAAAGAAAAGAAAAGAAAAGAAAAGAAAAGAAAAGAAAAGAAAAGAAAAGAAAAGAAAAGAAAAAGAAGGTTAGTATTTGGACTCAGAATTAATTTTGAGGAAAGCAGAGTGGTTGTCATCCATTGATGACAAACAAATTGGTTTGTTTTGAAATTCACAGACTTCTGATATTGTATCAGTTCTATTTTCTTCATTATCTTAAAAAAATTTCATGGGTGTGTTCTAACATAGAAATCAATGATTTGGCATTTACTAATACTGCCATTTGACCAACAGAAGTTTTCTTCTTGGAGTGAGATATTGCATGTGAAAAGGAGATGTCGAAGCTATTAACCAGCTGGAACATTAACTGTCAGGAATCTGGTCCTTCCATATGGAAAATCCACTTGCTATCATTATGCACCAGTTGGCTTTGGGACACATTACGTGTGCTGCTCCAAAATATATTTGAGAAAATAACAGAAGCAGGAAGGTCACTCTGACCTTACCTTGCCTTCTCCCCTATAAGTCTTATAAAACTAGGAGGGATTGTGTGAACTGCCCCTTGAAGCAGGAGACAGGATCCTAAGACCTCTGAAACCATGAGCCCCAAATAAACTTTCCTCTTCTATAATTGTTCTGGTCAGATCTTTTAGTCACAGCAGCGTACTAAAACACAGCCTTTAGCTCTGAAGACAGGGACACAGAGGAATCTGAACAAASTGGCCTCACTAGCTCTCCCCCAATCTACCACCATTCCATGTGTTCCCATTGTCTAATTACATTTCTCCATGACTACCCACTTCCTCATTACCCTGCATAAAATGTACACAAGTTTACCCTTTTTCATCATGTCTTTATTTCCTTATGAAGTTTCTCTTATTGGGCTCAGTTGGTAGAGTGCTTGCTTTGGATACACAAAACCCTGGGTTTGATTCCCAGCACTGCCAAAATTAAAAAAAAAAAAAAAAAAGGTTCTCTTGTCATGCAAAACTTATCTTAAATAAATTTCTACTTTTTTCTCTTGTTAATCTGCCTTTTGCTTCAGGAGCCTTAGCCATGCACGTGGGGATGAGTGAGGAAAACATACTTACTTTTCCATACAGCAATAAGTATTTTGTAGGTTCTCTATTAATTCTAGAAAAATACTCTGAAGGAAATAATTCAGTAGAGATGACACAGTCATGAAATGATTCAGTATCATATGTCTTAAAACAATAGAAACTGAAATAGACTAACTGTTCAATCATAAAGGAAAAAGGAAGTAGTTACATAATAGAGAATGAGAGGCTGCTTTTACTAAGAAGCACTGACTCTTGGGCTTAAAGATGTCTGATGGGTAACTAAAGAGGCAAAAACAAAAACAAACATACCAAAAACTTGGCATCTCAGCCTTCTTCTTCTTTTTTTTTTTTTTTTTTTTTGTATCAAGAATTGAATGAGCCAAATCCCCAGCCCCTTTTTTTGTATTTTATTTAGAGCCAGGGTCTCACTGAGTTGCCTAGTGCCTTGCTTTTGCTGAGGCTGGCTTTGAACTTACAATCCTCCTGCATCAGCCTCCCTAGCCTCTGGGATCACAGGCATGCACCACCACGCCCAGCTCTGTCTTCATTTTGTAACTGTCTCCTTTCTACCTTAATCTTTGGGTCAGATTCCTGCTCAGCTATGCAACAGATATATTAACCATTTAAAGAGTGTCTGCCTAAAGACTAGCGATACAAGGATGATTACTTCTAGTTTCACCTAACTTCTCTTGTGCCACTTCACTAAGATAAAAGCAAGACATCTTCAAGATTCCAGGAACAGTGAGCCTTACAAGCCGATCACCCCATGATGGAACCGTCCCCCACAAATAGAAGCCATTACCCCCCAATACAAACTGCAGCTACCCCCCAGAGCAGAAGCAATCATCTCGTCCCACAAAGGATAATGACTTCACCAGAGTCTTCAGGACTTCTCAGAACCAGACCTGAATTGATGGTTGGCCAATCAGACCACACTTTGACCAAGGCGGCTTACCTGTGCAAACTTCTTGCCCCACACACTCTTGTTTCTGTCCATATTTAAAGCTGCAACTCTTATCAGTACCCCCGGAAGACAGGGCTGAGGACATTTGGTCTCCCCTTGTTTCCCCAGTATGGATATACTGAAAAAAATTCCTTCCCTGCTTTTCACCTTTTCCATTTGATTTTTGGAGTGAGTGCCCAGATCTGATCTACTGGGACTCCCTGAAATGAAGACCCCTCTGGCCTAGGACATCAGTAACAATTAAGTAAGTGTAGGTTTATCAATGAAGTGAAACGTTACCCAACTATTACAAATTAAAATGATGCACAGTATGTAGTACAGTGCAAAATTTTGATAGGTCGCCCAGTAAAAGACTCTATAGCTACAGTTGGAAAATACCTAAAATTTTCTCAATATACAGAAAAGCAAATCGATGAGGTGCCCTTCATCAGTGTGTGAACTCTTACCTACTCACCATATCTTTACAGTGGCACCTATTCCTACTGATGGGGAGGGTCTCCTCTGTAGTCTCCCATTGAGCTTTTCTCATCTCTTCTTGTCCCTTTGCTGTACTGTTCCTTTGTTTAACTGCTAAGTGCTCTGTCTACTCCTGAGAAGCCACAGACTCACCTCATCCAAGACCTGTCTCCATTCTSGCCTCTTTCAGAAAGTGGTCTATTACCTCGAACTGAAATTGCTTCGGATTCCTCTGCCCTCATTGTCATTTCCTTGATTGTTCTGTTTGCTTTGTGTTCTCAGCTAGACTGCGAATTCCACAGTTGTTCTCAGCCCATGAGTAAATACGTGATTTTGAATGAATTGATCAATGAATATTAAACTCTTGAAAGCAGGGCCATTTCTTATCCTTGCATCTACAGTACAAATCATTGTGCTGGACAAACAGTAGATTATCACTAAACAAATGGATAAAGGAGTGTACATATATCGTCACACATGACTACCAGCTGCAATATAGTTTCCTTCTCCATTATTTTTCCACCTTCTGCTTCTAGGAAATATCACGTGAGGTTCTTTTTGTAAAAGAAGTGCCATTCATGAAGAGAACTTACCCAGGTCAAACTGGCCAGAAATGTAGCCACAAGTCTGTCGGACTTCCTCACTGTCCCAGCCCAAGGGGTACAGGGCACAGCCAGCACCAATCAACAAGCCTGCAAAGAGATAAGACAAGAGAGCCTTTACCAGTGCACCTCTGCCTCCCTGGGTAAGAGGAACAAAGGATCAATATTTGCAACATAACAAGACCCCCAGCCTGCATTTGGAAAGCACCATCCTAAACTCCCTTAAACAATCTGAGGTCAGTTTAATTCTAAGAACAATATCAAGTTTGCCTAAAAGAAAAAAAAAAAAAAAAGCCTGACAGCTCAGTTTGGTTCCAACTTGGCCTTTCAAAAGCATTAAAAGCCTTGCAAATCCTGTTTAGGAAATACAATCCACAGCCCTTTTAATCACTCTTGTAAAAAACCAACCAATTCYACCATTAATCCATGTAAACAAGTAATTTAAGAGCAAGCAAAATTTCTTAGTAGGTTATCCATCATTCTTTCGATTTATTTATTTATTTTTGTTTCCCACGTGAAAATCAAAATAGAATGTTTCAACCTTGTCAAATTTTACCAGGGGCAAAAGACACAAAAGATTTTCATGAACCACTTCAGCATGTTGATTGAACCTCTGAACTGTACTGCCTGTTTTATGCTCCACTGAGAATGACTGAGCATCTACACCTCTCAGAAATACTTCACGAGACAGACACACTGTAATCTGTGTCCTCCTTACAGCAGAAGCCAAAAGGTTTGAGGATTAAACTGAAGAAAGCGATGATGGCTTGATTCTAATGTAAATTAAGTTATCATGACCGCACACTGCGCTGACAGCTTTCGATTAGTGAGTCTTTAATTTTGCATCAAAACCTCATATGATTTTACAAGAACCTGAAGGAGATTTCAACACTCACTATTTGAATCCGTGGGCTCATCTGAAAGTAAGATCTTGTCCTGTCAATCAATGAGCATTCTCATCACCTGTTAGTACCACAAGCTGCTGAGGCAGTAGGACCAAGGCATACTTAGCTGGATGGGTGAGAAAGAGGGTTATCAGGTGCTAAACAGGAGGTACCCATTGGGAAATGCATTAATATGGTAATGTGGAGGAGGAATGGCAGAGCCCTAAGTGCATCTAGAAGAGGAAAGCTTCAATATTTACGTACTGAGTCCTTTCTGTCCTTTCCTGTCCCTCTTTTGTCCTGCTTTCACCTCCCAGAGGGTGACTAAGTATAAATAACCTGTTTCCTCACAGGATCTAAGGTCAGGCAGCTGTCCAGCTCCTCCCCAGGCACCATGCTGAGACCTAAGGACAGACATCCCCAAAGTACTGGCACTCATTTTCCTACCCTGGCATCCTTCCCCTCAGCCTGCCCCTTGGTGCACAGGAAAATGACCATCAAATACAGAGCTGCTTCCATCAGAGGGAGTGCCCAGAATCACTGTAACTGCAAATCACAAATCATGTCCTAGGTACAACTGTACAAGGATGAATTGTGTTGAAGGTGAAGAACAATCCAGAAAGCAGTATTATATGAGGTTTTGCTGACTAGGCTGTTTTCCTCAGTGATTCCCCCCCCCCCCCATGAAATAGAATTTACAGTATTCTGAAGACAAATCCTAATTAGTTTTATCCATCATCAGGTAAAGAGGTAATTAATGAGGATGCCAAACTTTGTATAAATTGAAATTTATGCATGTTCAATAAACAATGTGGTACCATTTTCAAGATACTGGGTTCTGAAATTAACAGAAAACACACCCTCTTTTTGAGATCTTTTGAGTAATTTTTTTTTTCTATTTTAAATTGTTTATTTAAATTTTCCAGCAAATGGATGGATCTGGAGACTATTGTGCTATGTGAAGTAAGCCAGTTTCCAAAACCAAAGGTTGAATGTTTTCTCTGATATGTGGAAGGTAACACTCAATAAGGGGGGTGGGAAGGGAAGAATAGAAGTACAGTAGATTAAACAATGGGGAATGGAGGGAAGGGWYAGGGGATAGGCTAAGGAAAGACAGTGGAATAAATCTGACATAATTTTCCCATGTACATATATGAAAACAACACAATGATTCCCACAATCATGTACATCCATAAGAATGGGGTTCTAACTAGAAAAAGATATAATCCATGATTGCATGGTTATGTCAAAATGGATCCTGCTTTCATGTATAACTAAAAAGAACCAATAAATAAGAAGGTAGGGGGCTGGGGATGTAGCTCAGTGGTAGAGCACTTGCCTAGCATGCATGAGGCACTGGGTTCTATCCTTAGCACTGCATAAAAATAAACAAAAGAATTCTGTCTATTTATAATTACAAAAAAATTAAAAGCAAACAAAAAACAGAGGGTAGTAGAAAGAAGAAAGGTAGAAATAAAATATAGGACAATGAAATGAAACAGAAATAGGACGTTGGCACCCCACAACTATATCATTTAAGTGTAAGAAAAAGTGCTGAGTTATCATTTTATTTTATAAAATGTTACAAACATTTACACTTAAATGAGTTTAGATGTCAAAAAACATGTTACTTTTTCCTTAGTCAAATTCTAAATCATGCACTGATACATCACCAGATTATTTTCTTCACTTCTTTGATTACATACATCTATGTCCCTCTCACACCCCACTTCTCACAAACCCTGAAAGGCCTAAGGAAGGATTCCTCTGTTCTGCTTCTTTAAGGACAAAAGTAGAAAGGTATTTGGAATCAGTAGAAAGTAAATATTGAACTGTAAGAAAAAATGAAAAATAGTAACATTTAAGCAATTAGTAGTGAAACAAATGATAGTCTGATTTGCTAAGGTTTCTTTTTCCTTTCTTTCTTTTCTTTTTTTCTTTTTTGGTATGCCTGAAAAATAGGTGTCATGAAATCACAAACACCTACATTGGTCCAGTTTTATGCTGGCCATTTTTGGACACCAAATAGAAAGGAGCTTATAAACTCCTATATGTATGGCAAGTGGGCCAGAGGTTCAGAAAGTGGCAGAAGACCTGGCAATTGAGGATCTTTTGTTAAAACACTGGACTATCTTTGTGATGCTATCAAATGTAGCTTCAACTGTATAAATTAGGAGTAATTTTATACACAGTAAATTTGTGTTATGTGTATGATTTTTTWAAAAAAAACATTTATTTTTTAGTTGTAGGTGGACATAATACCTTTATTTTATTTTATTTTGAAAAACATTTGTTTATTTATTTTTAGGTGGTACTGAGGATGGAACCCAGTGCCTTACGCATACTTGGCAAGCGCTCTTCCTCTGAGCCACAACCCCAGCCCCTGTGTATGAGTTTTTAAATACCATGAACTATTTTTTAAAATGTTGTTTCATAGAAGGCAACTCGTCATCTGAATTTTTATATTAATATTTATGTAGTCTTTGTTCTGTTCTCTGCTACTGCTTGCTAACAGGAAAAATACCACAGACTAAAGATTTGGGAAACATTTCTGTGAGATAAGTGTATATTGCAAACAGGCTAATTAGCTGTCACAATTATTCGGGTCTGTAGGTAAACATCAGCAGCACCTCCACTGCGTACATTGTTTGCATGGTGAGAGTGCATCTCATGCGGGCTCTGGAGACTGAGAGAGAAGGATTGCAAGTTCAAAGCCAGCCTCAGCAATGGGGAGGCGCTAAGCAACTCAGTGAGACACTATCTCTACATAAAATACAAAATAAGGCTGGGGATGTAGCTTAGTGGTTGAGTGCCCGAGTTCAATACCCAGTACCAAAAAAAAAAAAAAAAAAACAAAAACCAAAAACCAAAAAACATTCCTTGGGAGAGTGTGTCTCAGACTGAATGCCACCAAATACCCAACTGATGTTTAATAGGCAGTGAGTATCACAAGCAGTTGGGAAACCAACTGCATAAACTCAGGGAAATCCTGCCTCCCCCAATCACATAGTCACCCTAACAAGTACCTCACGTGAAATTCTTGACACACCATGAACCCAACAAATACCAGAGAGCAGGATCAGGGAAATTCAGTTCCAATCAGGGAACAGTGTCTTCCATGAAATGGAAGAGAAGAGGGGTCAGGCGGAGGAAAAATATGGGTTCTCACCTGCTTGTCCAAAACAGCAGCCTTGAGCTACATGTAGATAGTTAAATTTAAGTTTATTTAAATTAAATAAAACTCAAAATTCCATCCCTCAGTCTAGCCACATTTCAAGTGTTCAATAGCCATACATAGGGTGCTAGTGGACAGCACAAGTACACACCATTTTGGTAACCACAGGAGGTTGCACTGGGGAGGGCTGCTGTGGGCCTCAGTCATTCCTGGAAAGGATGCTGGGCTTGTCAGATTCTTGTCCTGGGCCTGATATTGCTTGTGAAGAGTCAAAATCTTAGCCAGGCACATTGGTGCATGCCTGTAATTCCAGCGGCTCAGGAGGCTGAGGCAGGAGAATCACCAGTTTAAAGCCAGCCTCAGCAATTTAGCAAGGCCCTAAGAAACTCAGCGAAACCCTGTCTCTAAATAGGGATATAGCTCAGTGATTAAGTGGTCCTGGGTTCAAAAAAAAAAAAAATCAAAGTCTCCCTAGTCTTAGCTTCTTCCTTTCAAGGTAGGACTAGAGGCTATGAAACTGTTTGGGGAACTCTCTGGCTGGCAGGAGTTTTGTCACACTGTGTCAAGGAGAAGCTGATGTGTGGGACTGAGAAGCTAAAAGGGAAGGGTGAACTGTTGTCCCCACTGGCGGCTGCAGCCTGGAGCAGTCTTTCTGCAGACGTAGATGGGATATTTGGGGACTGGCTTCCAGACTCCTCCTCATCACCCACTGCAGAGCAGAGAATCCACTTCCTGTGATCCCAACACGACCTGGTTTCCTGAATTCTTCAAAGCAGCTTCTCTGACTTTCACTTTCCCAGATCTTCAAATTCATGGGCTGCATCTCCTCCTATTTGAGTTATCTAGTGCTTTATTTTACTGCTCGAACCTGACTGGTATATATATATATATATATATACTCTACTCCTGTAAGGGCAGAGGGGCCAATGTAGATCTTTACTATATGATCATATTCCCTGAACATTATTCATAGCCTCGATTAAAAATTATCTCGAATACAATTTATGCTAATTATTAAGTCTCTTGGGCAA